TCTCGAACTATATCCTGCTTAAGATTAATTATGTTTTTTTTCCTCCTCTGACCTATTGTGGTCCCTTTCTTTTGTATTTATCTTACTATAAGGGCAGCACCTTTTTTGGTAGCAAGCTGCCGGTCTGATATAAAATTAAGTCTGATATGATCATTTCTGATATAACTATAAGTTTGAGAGACATCTAAAAGAAAAAAAAACTACAGAGGACTGAATACTGTTTCCTGGTACTGTATAGACATAATAACCATGAAGAAGAATTACCTACATAAAACAAAATGAGATCCTTAGATCCACAGAAGGTACACAAATAAATGATAGAAAACACATAAAGACAGACAATGTGAATCATTACACTATCTGAAGCATCAGCAGGCTGATTAGACATATGGTTGTGGCTTTTACTTGTCACAGTGATTTAACCTGTCCTCTTAGCTGGCCACAGCTGAGACAAATGATAATGTCTGCTGGGATGTTGAAGTCATTGAACAAATGCCGCTTCTTCAAGCCCAGCCCACTGTGGGCCATTTGATCCAGTACCTTTTAAAATGTCAGCAGTGATTTGCCATCTCTGTTGTGCTGGGCAGCAAAGATGGCCAGTGAGACACAGTAGACTGATATACCTCTGTGGCACAAAGAACCACTGGGTGGAGATGAACCCTGTTTCTAAGAGGAGCTATGCTGTAGTGAAACAGAAAGAAAAAAGTGCAGGGAGGAGCAGGTGACAAAGGCGAAGGCTGAGGCTGAAATGACAGTAAAAGTGATATGTGGGGGTGAGAGGGGGAAGACGAAAGGATAAAAGAGTATGGCTGATCGAGAGAAGCAGAATATAAGAGGGGGTGGCGTTCTCACTGAGTTTTAGCTGATTCGTCAGCAGAACTCATCCACTGTGAGATTTGGTGCCATTTCCGCTGCTAAAGCATGTAAGTATGTGTGCACAAGGTGGGGTGTTGGCATCTCTAGCGAGGAGTTGAGGGGGGCGGTGATTGATGGTTTACAGGAGAATACTGATAGGCGATTCATCTCCGCCAGCCACAACAATCACCGTGGCAACACGAGTGACCTGTAATCCGTCACCCGGCTCAAAGGCCACCTCATGTCAGCTTCACGGGATAAGACACATTCACTCCCTTAACATTACTTCCTGAAGCATCTCAGTGAACTGTGAAGTTGTGTCCGGCTCAGACAGAGCACGCCTTCCTGTCTGTCTGCTGGCCAGCACAACTGACTGTTTGCATTTCTTTGGCCCACATGCCTGTTCTTCCATTACATCAATCTGTTTTAGCCTTCTACCACTTATTCAAATGCAAACTGACAGGACATGCCAAGAAACATAAGCCTGTCTGCTTATATTTCCTCTACAAATGTCACAATTAGTCTGAGCTGAAGAATAATTTTATGAACAGACCTTACATCCACTGTTTTTTGGACATGAATGTCTTGTCTTCCCTCATAGCATATATCTAAATCTTAGTGAGCCACACTGACAAAGCACCCAACACACACTATCTGGAATAATGCCTGCATTTCTATCAGTCTGCAGCTTGTCTGGCAGAAGTATTTGTCTGAATGCCGTTAGGCTCCTTTCTATATCTGCATATCTGACAGGTTGTCTTGTGTGTTTTCCATTTTTGGTATTCTCTACAGGCTTGCCTTGCATCCATGTTTTCATATGATTTTTCTCCAAGCTCTATGTTCGTCTGCCCAACTCTCCACCTCTCTGCCCACCTGTTTGTGTTTGGCTGTGTGTCCGCCCACCTACCGAGACGGACGCCCCAACGATACAACAAGAGCATGCATTGGAGGTCCGCAACAATGGAGGTCACTGAAAAAAAATGACTGGCAGGTCAAGAAGCTCACTCATCCGGGGAAACAAATGCAGCAGAGCCACAGTGACAGCTGCAACCCACCTACTCTTTCAGCTTTGCCAAAAAGGCCGATGGTGACACTATGGATTCCATCCATAATTCAGATTACAGCATACCTTTATAGAGGGGCAAAAAAATAAAAAATGGAATCCACAGGGTGCTGTGTTATTGCTTCAGTTCATCACAATATTTGTCTGTGATTGTGAGAGAAATGAATAACAGTGTTTTGATGCCAGATGGCTGTTATTAAACAGCTACCAAACAGATTGAGTTTATCCTAGTGGCCTTGGTTTTTTTACTTGATGCGAGAGAGCCACATTTATGACAAGATTGCCAGTTTTAAACATTGCAACAATGAATCGCCTAAAGGGAGGCAGGTCTGAGATACATGATGTAATGCCCCATTTATCTGTGATGCAACTAGTCTGCTCAGCTTTGACATAATGAGATGTGATCAACTGATGGATCAGGGGTAATACCTGGTGCATTATTAAGCCTTTTTATTATGACAACAAGCAATGATCTTTGATGTTGGATTCTGACAGCGATTAAAACTCAAGCAAAAGAAAAACTCACCTACACAAATATATAAACAAATCATACAAAGCGCAAACAGAATGTGTTCTAAAACAGGAACTAGCTAAGCCATTTTACTTTGGTGGCTTGATATGGGGTCTTTCAGTCCCGTTTCTTCCTTAATAAGGTATAGAGCTCACACAGTGTGATATTTTCCACAAAAAATTTCAGATCCAGCTGATGAACATCAAAATCAGCTGTCCCCAACATCCATATTTTATTTCCCGGTTTGTGCCTCAAGACTTGGAATATATCACTTTGATAGTAATGAGTATCTACAATATACAGGTTTAACTTTTTTAACTGAATTGCTGAAATATGTTGTTGTTCATATTCTAATTTACTGAGGTGGACTTGTATTTTGAAACAGGATTGTGCCAGGAAACTCTGGTTTTAATTAAACTCGAGCACATACTTTTTTACAACATGAAATTAAATGCTACACTATAGTAGGTAGGAAGGGTTTGTTATAAAATATTTGATTTTATGTTATGAATCTTCTACAAAACTAAAACTTTTTAAGAGAAAGATCAAGTGATTTTTTTGTCAATTTGGAGGAATGTTGAACTTTATCTTTCAATCATGGCAGAAAATAAATGGATGTTTTACCTGCTTCCCTTGTCTTTTTTTTTCTGTCAACAAAGAAGTTTATTAATCAGCCTAAACTTTTTTAGCATGTAATAAAGCACAAGGAACAGGCAGCTTCAGCGGTCCTATCACTATTTCTTCAGAAAAATCCTAATCAAGTTTTAAGTGCCTCTTACATTTGTATGCAGGCTCTGCAACCTGCTGTTAAGGGCATGTTATGGTCCAAATCAGAGCAAATAAACAGGTTGAAAAAATGCTACTGGGGAAAAACATCTATCACATTTAAGGCAAAGGCCTGTTTTGGCTAAACTTAGACTTGTAGCGTCTTCTGAAAAACAAATACACTAGTCTTCTAAGTTCATAAAGTAAAATTCCAATGAGCGCAGCAAACTCTCCAAGAGTATTTGATGGTATGACAAAAAAAAATAAAAAATTGAAACATCTAGTTGGCATGATTTTGTTCGATTAGTTTCATAGTGATTCGGTGACCTCAAGCTGCCTGTCTTTGCTGCAGCTCTCAATGAACTTTACTTTTTTTTTAAACCTCCACCACCTTCTTGCTTACTGTGTGTACTGGCAAGATAAACTTCTGTGTCCATCTAGCCTATTCACAATTAGCTTGAAGGGATGGGGATTCTTATGTGCATCATATTTATACCGAAGAAAAAGTCATATATTACAATGGAAAACTCTCAAATACTCTAAGAACAACCGAAAAAGAATCTGTTTAATTTAATAAAAATGGCTAATCTGTTGTTGTTTTATCATAAAATACTATGAGTACCCTTAATTAAAGCACTAATAATTGTGATAAAAATAGAAGTTTTTTCATATATGGGATTTTCTTACCACTAAATAAATCTGCTTAAATAAAATGTGAATTAATGCAGGATGGATTTACTGGAGGATTTTCTTTATGAATTCATACAGGAGGTAAACTGAAACGGTGGCAAGTTACCTTTTTTCCTGCATGTATTTGCTGACTCATTAGTGCATTCAGCAACCATGCCTTGAGATCACATGAAGCATTTGTGTTCCTTTTCCCTCTACCTGCTTTTCATTTTTTATGTTTTTTGATTTTTGTTTTATTTTTGCTGTTGTTCTTGTTGTTGAAATTGAGATTAGCATAAAATTTCTGTCACTGTGTCATTTTTATCATGTTAAAGGAGGATGAAAAAGCAGTATCCGCTTCCAAAACATCTGCAGTTCGAATCAGGGATTCATAAAAGGAGGGATTTTCAAACTTTGTCCTTTTAGAAGTGTTTCTGCTGCAACACACCTACATAAAATGAATGCATTATCTCCTCAGAAGCCATCAATGGCTGCAGATGCCTGTTAAGCACTCAGTTCTTTAAGTCAAGTATGTGGAGGAATGGACATACCCCAAAACATTCAGAACAGCTGCAACCTGAGGACAGAGTTTGAAAACCCCTGGGTTTGACAGGTGTAAAATAAATCAGTATCATTCTTAAAAACCTAATTTCCTCTCTAATTTGTAAGTGGGTGCCAAGAAGCTGGGAAACATTCTTAAGGTCTATGCACTAGATTATCAACGTAAACATCACTGTTTAAAGCAAAGACGATTAAAGCCCTAATAGGAACACAAGTAATTTATCAAAGGGTTCAAATTATCTGTCAGCTCTGAGAAAAGAGGAAGATCAGATTATTTTTTGCAAGCAAAACATTTTACAACGCTAAAAAGATTGCACAGCATCCATCTTTAAACACATGAAACTTTGGCCAACAATTGAGAACAAAGTAGGCGGAACTTGAAGCAACTCATGAATAGAATCTTAACATGTAAAACAAGTGGAGGCAGTGTTATGGCATGGGCGTGCGTGGTTTCCAGTGGCACTATGTCATTCTTGTTTATTGTTAGTGTGACAAAAAAGAGAAGAAAGGAGAACTCATCAAGAATTGTTAAGTGCACATTTACTGTCTCTAAGGATTTATTTTGAGATGTGGTGGAATTTTGAGGTAAAACCAACTACTTTAATCTGGGAGTTTAATTTTCACAGAGGAGGAAAAGAAAATTATTTTTCAGGTAGCTCAACTTCGTTACTCCTCTTAGCAAATGCTACACTGCCACAAAGAAAATGCCCCATGGCTTTCCCTATCCATTTTTATCAGTACACTCCACAGAATTTTTATCCCTATTGTTTTGATAAATTATGTATATCTAACCAGTAAGAGCCATGGTAGAGTTTAGCAAACAGTGTTCAAATTCGTGATGGTAGGACAAAAAAGGCTTTCTCCTACTAAGCCCCCAAAACCAGCCCTTCATATTTAATGGATGTTATGGAACTTGGTGATCCCTAGGTGTGATTATTTCCAGCAGTTCTTGAAACGTAAGGGTTTGGATTTCTTTGCCTCTGCTGCTATCCTGCAAATGGTGCATGGTGGTAAGGTAGATACTGCATGCCCCTTAAACAGCCTAAATGTCAGTAAGCCATGTCACATTTATTCCCAGAGGATACAGGAAGTTTTCCACGTGTAACATTTCCCTGAAACCGTAAAAATATAATAATAATAATAATAATAAAAATAACTTTTACTTATTTCACAGATAGTTAGCAGTACCAGTAACTCTTATTCCTGAAAGTGATTTATTTTGCCACTAAGAAAAATGTACTGAAATAAACTGTAATTCTTTTTTTTTTTTTTTTCAAGGATCAGGAAACAAATATTGCTTGTATTATAAGTATTTTAAGTATCCCTCTAGCTTCGACATATAAAGACAAACAAACCTATTTTAACTCCAATGATATTACTTAAATAGATAAGAATGTGTGGTTAATATAAAAAACAAAACAAAGAGACACTCACACAGGCTGGGAGAATTCAGGGGCTTCATCGTTGACATTAACCATCCTCACACGAACCGTGGTGGTGCCAGAATGAGGCTCATCCCCGCTGTCGACTGCCATCACCACAAACTCATACAAATGGTTAGGCCTCTCATAGTCGAGCCGCCTTGCAGGGAAAACAGTCCCGTGAGGTGAAATGCTGAAATCCGGGCTCAGGGTGTAATAGGTGAGCTCAGCGTTTAATCCCGAGTCGCAGTCTGTGGCTAAAACTGTCGGGATGGAGAACATGATACATGGACTATCAGTTAGCCGTTGTTGAACAAAAAAAAAATTAAAAAACGTGACAGCATGACATGTGCTGATGCATATTTGGACATCTTTGTAGATCATTATCCCTTTATTGCTCTGCTAAACATGTAATAAATCCTAAATTCAGACAGCTACAATTATTAGAACACAAACTGCTCCCTTCTAGACTGATTACCATCATTTTCAAAATGAGCTTAAAGACATGAAAAAGAAAGAATTAAATGAACAGCACTTGTGTGTGTATGACTAGCTGGAAATGATTACATTCCAAGGTAATTACACAGAATTAACTATAGCTTTTTTGCCTGATGTGTGGTGAGATTCTTTCAAAGACCACGACCACTGTGAATTTCACTTAAACTCACTGTTTAACACACACATCCCCACCAGCTCATAACACTTGAATACATAAAATTACTTTGATGTGTTTATTTTCTGTGTGTCAAGCATCACCAAGCACCCCCGTGCATGTTAATGTCTCATTCTTTTTTCATCTTAGCACCTTGTAAAACAAATCACATCTGGTAATTTATGATATCCTTTTAATTTGGCTCGTATAATTTCAGAGACTCATTAAATGTTAAAGAGACTGAAATTGTGCGTTTCCTTTAAAGTTCTGTTATAAAAGCTCTTCTGTGAGTTTAATCTACTTTGTTGTCAACTTCAGTGGTTCCTTACCCTGTGGAGACTCAATGATTAGGTAAGGATGATTTTTTTCCCTCTCAGTAACTAAAAAAGAAAAGATCTTTGATATCTTATTGGTTAGCTGAGCAGTCCTCCAGATTAACAGTTTACCTCTACTTCCTTGTCTGTTGAAATATATGTCCACTCCATCTGGTTTAGAGAAATTCTAATTAAAAACCAAACTTAGCAGTTTCTCTTCATTCCTTCAATTTAATTTCCTTCTGTCACTGATTATCGGATACAACCTATCAGATAAGACACCTATACATAGTCGAATCCATGTCATCTGTTAACTTAAAGGTATAGTGTAGGACGTCAAAATAAGTGGTCCTTCTAATCGTCAATCATTCTGGTGATATGTTTACGTAGGGCCGTGCTATGTGCTCTTCCCCAGTTAGCTATCCTTTTGTGCACATGAGCACTTTCAGGCATTTATGTGTGAGCTACAGTTTCAGACAGTCATTAAAGTTTGCCTTTTTTCACACTGGTTCTTTGAAAAAGGCAGAGGGTAAGGGTAGGAGAAAACATGTCTAGGAAGTGTATGAGAAGAAACGAATGGCCTCAGAAGAGAGAAAGAAGACCAGACTGATTTTGGGAGAATCTTTCATGCGATGGCTTACACTGAAATCAAAGTTTCTACTCGACAGGTAAAGTTCGGCGTGCTTGTTGGAGAAATCCATTTCAAATCACTGCTAGTAAAATGAGGGGAAATGGGCTTACAGTATGCATGCTCATACTCTTCCTGTTTGGCTGTGATACCATCCTGGAGTGAAATATCAGCTGTGCTGCTACCATCAACACCTTTGTTTATAGATGTTCGAGATCGGCCTGTTTTTCAGTGTAGTCCCGTTTCTCTGACTGTGACTGGCTGGATGTGCACTCATCATCATCTGACTTTTGAGCTGGCTCAGAGCTTGTGTTCCTGGCTGTGTGTTTCCTGGACGGGGCTGCCTTTTACAGTTGCCTTTTGTATCTCTGCTTCTGTCTGCTTGAACCCTGAGCCTGGTTCTGCTGGAGGTTTCCTACTATTAAAATGGAGTTTTTCCTCTTCACTATCGCTACAAGCACACTTGGTGTGAGGGATTGCCTTCGAGTCAATGAGTCAATGCAATCAACTGGTTTTCCTTAGATAGAAAACTTTGAATCAATTTGACTGTATGATCTGGTGAGCTGTAAAGTGTCTTTAGATGACATGGGCTGTGAATTGGTACTATAAAAATAAACTGAATTAAATTGAATTGAAAAAGCAAATGAGCTATGCAGGCTGGAAGATATCTGTTGACCTTCAAGTATGGTTCAATCATCAAATGCTCCAAGGTGCCACGTTCATCTATGAAAACAGTTATATGTAAGTATAAGCACCATTCCAGTCATCATACAGCTTTAGCAGGTGATAGATTTTGTTGGACTATCAAGAATGAACTTAGAAAATGTAAATTCTAGCACTAAAAGAAAAGTAGAAGATCTTAGCCAGATGCTGAAAATGCTTGCTGAAAGGCCAATCAGAGAAGAAGGCATTTCCCCATAAGCAATCTAAAGAGCCAGATTAAACTTTGCAAATGGGCTCAATGATGAAGACCTAACATTTTGGAGACAAATCAAATGGTTTAATAAAACTGTCATTTGGCTATAATGGCTGCTGTTAGGTAAAGTAACAATGGTTATACTTCTTAACCTTTAATTTTTTATACACTGTATGAAAATGTCTGGTTTTACTGTAAAAATTTAAATTCACAATAATAAGTAAAACCTTATCATCTGTTTCACTGATTCAGAATATATAGTTAGCAGCGTTTTCCAGAATTCATGTTTATCTTTTTTACACTGTTTTCTCCCAGAGGCTGCAGGTGAATGATGTAAAGCATAGCATCATCAAACACTTAACTCTCATGAGTGCAATCAAAAGTGCAATTTTCTTCAGGAAGTAGAGTGGCTGTGAAACAGTGCCAAATATCAAACATAAAAAAACAAACATTTGCAACTTAATAATATAGCACAATTCTAGATCTTTTCAATATAACTTATGGGTAAGTAAGGTTTATTTTTACTAAACAGGAATTCATAGCAGACACTCACCTGCCTTGTGACAATAATTTTACATGAGAAGGTATTCTAAAAAAAAAAATGGGAATCAATATGCCTTTAGTCATAAAGAACATAACAGATCCCTACCAATGCACATCTGGATAGACTTTTAAGGACTTAAAAGGACTTGGCCAGTGTTGTGGGGGGAAAAATGGAAGCTTAACAGAGAGATTCAGGGTTAAAGTTGGGGCTTTGAGTTTAATTTAAAAATCCATCCACTGTTTTTCTCCATGAAAATATTGAAGGGAAGTTTTGAATTGTTCTCTTTTTCAATGTATAAAAGAAACATAAGGATGGGAAATCGGAGGTCAAAGGAAACTTACCCTGCAGTAGAGATGTTGCTGTGGTTACTGTCTCAGGCACTCCATCTACACTGTAGATGGACTGCAGGAACTCTGGGACACAATCGTTCTCATCCGTTATCAACACCTGAACCTGATTAGTGCCGGAGAAGCAGAAGAAAAGCAGTGAGACAGAGAGAGAAAGAAAGAGAAGTGGAGAAATCATTCTGAAAGAACAGAAAATTAACCACTCTTCATTAGCTCTCAAATCCAGAAGACAACCATATCAAATGCTCTGTAGAAAGTTGACCCCAAAACTTAATCTTAATTGCATTTTCTAGTTCCACTAGTTGCTCGTTCAACTCATCCTTTATCTTCCACTTCATGATTTTCCCCGAGTCAAAAATAGAAATGTTTTCAGCATGTGAGTGCTGCAGTGTGTGTGTTTTCGACAAAAGCCCTAAGCTGTCCTCCATCCTACAGGCTCCCTGTCATCACAGTCTGTAAAGTGTGAAGTGACAGCTGAGTAATAGTCCTGAAATAACTGGAAAAGGTTTTTCCCAGTTTCCAGCTCCTTTTCCATAACATTCATTTTTATAGAGAGGATATTCTTTCCTGCTAAATCTGTAGTGTAAAGTTAGCCCATGACATAATTACTGAGTTACTACATAATTACATAATGTAGGCAAACCTGAAAGGATTGATGTTTAACAAAAAGATGACCATGAGTAAATACTTCAATTTCTGAATTTGAACCCAAAAGATACTTTTCCTAAAATTTCAACCTTTAACTCTTTTGACAAAAGTGTTTTCCAAAACACAGAAACAAAAGCTTTAAAAAAAACAAAAAAAAACAGAGCACAATCCCTGAGCTTTACAGTTCACTTGTTAACATTTCAAGACCACTCAGCCATCCCATTTCCACAGAAAGCTACATATTCTGCTGCTCTTCCTTCGAGGTAATGGCCAGGCATGAAGTCAATAGGTCAGCTGTGTTTTAATCAGTGAATGTGTTTATTATAGCCTTGGTTACAGTGGCCCTATAGAGAGAATCGTTGTACTACTAAACAAAACAAAATAATATAATGAAAAATAATAAAGCTGCACCAGAAACAATCAAACAATATAAAACTATGTACAAACAAACCAAAATCACATGAACAAAATTTCAAAACAAAAAAAGACTTTCTCTATTTGATGATGTGATCGGCATTGCACAGTGGCTGTACTTAACTCATGCAGTTCACCACTGTGCAATGCAATGTATTGCACAGGGGTGAATTCCATGCAGTGCTTCCTGCAGCTCTAGGGTGCATTCTGTGTGAATGCGGCCCAAAAATCTACCAAAAAAAAGTAGGTGGCTAAAATATATTTATAACCACCAACATAATTCCCTATACTGCCATTAAATCACACATTCCTGTATTCTCAGTTGGAGATACTTATCCAAGACATTGGGTAAAAGTTTCTTAGCATTAAATTAGAGTTAATAGCAAATGTTGTGCATATTTCCTTAAAAATTTTATACGTGCTTAGTCATATACTATGACTATAATTTTTTTCAACACTAGCTTCCTCTGGTTGGCTTACTCCCTGTTGGCTTATTATATTTCCTTTCTGTTTCAGGCTTCGAAGAACAAAGTTATTTGTGTATTCATACCATAACAAGACCATGTAACCAAAATGAGCACAATGAGGATATATTCAGATTTCCCTGCCACGTTCATGAATGTGAACACGTCATTATTAATGCTGATACTAGGGATAGAAAAGGTTTATAGGTATGCAATGCTTAGGATATTCGCTATTATTCAATAAATATAAGCTATTAAAAGATGGTAAACTATCATGTTTTGTCTGCTGCTCGCACCCAGCGCAAAAATTATTTTCTATTTCAAAAAGTACTAAGTAACCAATGTCAGAACATACACTTGGCATATACAGGAGTAATGGTTTAAAAGTTCTGCCTAAGGCACATAGCCAGCCGAATGGCCTCCAGTTTTCAACGAAGTTCAGCCAAGCATAAAAGCCAGTCAGTCAAGGACCCATCATGGAAACAGGGGAACTTTTCAACCGCTACTATTGTATTGTGTTATTTGAGCATGAATATATGTTTAATTTTCTTGTGTTATAGACATACTACCTGACTAGACCCATTTAAATAAGACTATTTGTCTGCAATACCACATTTTCTGGATTAGAATTTGCAAAAGCATACTGTTTAACTTACTCAGCAATGATAGTATAGACATTGTAGTGCCTTCCTATCTTTTTTCTTAAATGGCATAATGTCCCAACCATAATTTTTGTAGGGCAGCTTTAATATGGTGCTCAGAAAAAAGGGTTTACTCAATTAAGAAAAGGGTTCTTAAAATGTATCGACTCCAACAGATGGAGTCTTTAAGAAGCTCAAATTAACTTCAGATGATCATGTTTAGTAAAAAGTAGTTCCTTTAGGTACAGGAATAAAGTTATCATGTCTTCCCTCTCTTTTTTTTTTATTCTTCATTGATAATTTGGCTTTTAATGTATTTAGATGAACATCCAATTAGTCATTTACAGAAAAAACCTACAGGGTAAAAAAGCATATTTATTAACTTTAGTACTTTGCTTTAAACATGATCAAATCTAATAAGAGTTAGATTATGTTACAAAAACTTTTTACTGAAACGCCATTATTATGACATTTTTTCGCCTTCTTAAAAAATTCTGGTTAAACTGGGGACAGATAAGGTTGTGGAAAAACATATTAATAATGAACATAAAATAATTTTCATATTAACTAGAACACCCTTTAACCTATTTTGGTGCTAGACTTTCATCCTAGGCTCTACTGTGTTATTATCCTTTTTTATCATTGAAACCAGATATACTACTTACTACTACTTCTTGAAGTTACAATTTGTCTGAATGTTTAAATTCTCTGAACTAAAACAACGATCTGTTACTTTGTATGATTTTAAGACATTGTTTTTTTTATGATTCAAAGTTATGGCCCTATTAAAATAAGTAACAATGCCTCTTGATATTGTTACTTGATACATTCAGTACATTTCAACAATTAAGGCAACAAAGTAAGATTTATGTTGGTTGTCTTATCAAATAACATTTTTTTTAAGGTCAGATTTAAGCTTTATGCTAAACTAGCAAACAGTTAGAAGACCAAACAGGTCTTTCACAGTTTAATTTAACACAGTAATGGAATATTTCTGTTTGAATCTCATACATATATAAAAATCTAGTGAACTTCAATTTTGAGTTCAGTTGACCAGTGTGTACCAACTCTCAGCCAACTGTCTAGTCTTCTAATTAAACTGACCTCTGTGGCAGTGCTCAAGCTCCCAGGCTCCTCACTAGCTCGCACCATCAGAAGGTAGCGTCTCTGGTCACTCTCATAATCCAGTGTCTTGGTAAGGCTGATCTCTCCAGTGTCCTGCCGAATGCTGAAAATGCTGCTGGGATTGATCAGCAGGCTGTAGCTGATTTGCTCCTTCTGGAAGGAAATAGCTAATACCGCAAGGAAGCTGTGAAAAAAAGAGAACGTGATTAAAAGAAATTGAAAAAAGCAAGCCTTGCTACTTGATTTCAGCTGCGGCCATGTTGAATTAAAATCGAAATCCTCTTTTCCTGCATCAGCAGTGTGGTGTAATGAAATCAATTAATTTATGCTCCATTGCTTGCACGCTAGAAACATGGTCAATTGGTTCTTGTCAGTTGTGTGTAATAATGTCACAGTATTATGCAGACCCCTGTGTTTGCCTTGTGGAGAGAGTTTGCATTCCCCTAATAGTGGGTAATGATGATTGTCAATGCTTGTTCAAATGCACTGGTGTGACCAAATGGATGCTTATTAACACAGGTTTTAAACAGTAGAGTGTAAAAAACACATTCAATGATAACATCTTCAACCCCAACTAATTGGTGACAAGCAAAGTGGAGGGGTCGTAATAGTTGCAGTTCATCTGCTTGCTAGGGTGCACCAACCGGAGTCTTTATAGGATCTTCCTGATGTAGGATGTCGGGTCAAGAGATCTGTTGTTTTAAGGTATATTGGCTGAGCTATTTTTAGTACTGGAAAAAAAAGATGTCAGACTCAATGTCGAACACCATTTAAACCTGGGGACATATTGCGATCCAGTCTCACTATCTGCCTCCTCACTTGACTTCTGGAGACAGACAGATGTAAGGCAGAGGTGGGCATTGCTACCTTCTGATTTGTCTGAGAACAAACTCAAAGAAGCGAAAGGGTCCATGGCACAGGTGGAAAATGGAACAATGTGTAAGAGAGACAGTTTCGGTCAAAGGAAGGCGAGATGTCCATTTGACTGTGGGTAGGAGAGAGGGACACTGAGCTTGTTCCTAAAATTTATGTATTGAAGAATCCATTTTGCTGATTGGCTCAGTCCAGACCTCCATCTGTCTGATCCTCCTCCTGCTTGAAGCATGTGTTCTTTTTCATCCCTGACCACACATGTCTGATATTGTGTTCCTGGACTTGCTTTTCAGAATCTTCCTGTATGCTTCTTTGCTGTCTCTTATCTTGATCTTAAGTTGGTTTTGTACTCCTCAGTAATTACCTGTCTCTGTTTTTGAAGAAATCATCTTTAATCAAGGATTTGTTTTTGAGTAAGAATTACATTGTTCTGCTGGAGATGGTGGTATTTGATGGGAGGTTTATGTAGTCAGTCACACATGTAATCATTGCACTGATGTCTTCTTATTGTGGCTGACATAGTGAATTCCTGTCTGTAGCCTCATAAATGACCTTGCAGGGCTTCTTTAGCCTTGGTGACAATCTTCTTAGATATTTTGTAATGCAGGTGTTCTCTTATAAAGTTGCTTATGTTCTGGGCAGAGAAATACAAGATTGTGATCTGATATCCCAAAATAAGGTCTTACTTTAGAGATCAATGAGTCCCTGACATTTGCATAAATCAAGACCAAAGTTTATTTTCTCTAAAACAGCAGCTGATAAACCGCTGGAAGTGTAGTAGAAAGCGAGGAGTGATTAAAGCCACCAGTTTTTGCCACAAATGCATTGGGCTGTTCTGCCTGTAGTAACAACAGAGCTGATTTAATCATGTGCAGTGTCTGCTATGGCAGAAGGTGGAATGTAAACAGTAACCAACAGCACACTGGTAAACACCCTTTGCAAAAAATATAGGAAAAACCAACTGTCAATAGTTCAATATCTGGGCTGCCGTAATGGATGTTTACTGTATCATGTCCTGGAGGACACCATCTGTTTATGTCAAACACTGCACAAACTTAAGCTTTCCTTAATTTTTCTAGCCGTCATTAAATCTCTGTCCGTTCGATTGGTCAGAAAGTCTTAGAGAGAGATGCTGGAGTCAGGGATTTGATCCTGCAGCCACGCTACAATAAAAGTCATAATGCTGCATTTCCGATATTGGGTTGGGTCCTTGCGAGGGCTTGGAGTTCTTATAACTTATTTCCCAAAGAAATTAGATTGCCCATAATCATTCATGGAAGAGACATACATTTCCTGCTCCTCTCTCTTCTGTTGACTCCTGCTCTACATCCTTTAAACATCCTTTTTAACTCAGCTTATACTTGTTGGAGTAATTCAAGAATTACTTAAGCTTTAGAGATGTTAATTACAGTAGCTGCTCTCACGTGTTAAATAACAGCTTGCTATAGTCGTAAAAATATTGACAAAACTCCTTCCAGGTTCCCAAAACTCACCTGAGTCAAAACCATTAGAAAAAAGCAAACTTTGATCTACAAACAGAGGAGCTAAAGTTTCTTTTGACTCTGTTAGATGGAAAGCAATGTGAAATTATGGAAAATTCCTCCTAATGTTAACAATAGTTAATGCACTTAGTTTAATTATGTTTTGCTATTTTGGATTTTTTTCATGTTTATGTTGCTGTCTAGGCCAGATAACTACAAAAAATATGTTTACTACTAGTGACATTTCTACTGGTTAAATGCAGGATACATACAGTACATAACACCACATAAAAGCCATATGCAGATTATGTATTATTTTTACAAAATCAAAGCATTCTAAAAATAGGTTATCAATCTTTATTAATAAATTTATATATATATCTGTCTGCACAATAAATTACAATAAAATTTTAACAATAAATGGAGCTACTTAATCCCCCATCTACCACCAAGGTATGTAATGTCAACTTCAAATACTAATGTAGACAGTTTTTCTTTAATCTCTCAGATTTGTTTTACCTTATTCCAGTCTTCTATGGAAAACAGCACAAGATTACTTAAACTGATTAGGGACATTGCTACTTTCACTAAAAGGTGTAGTGAATGATGTTCCTTTTTCCTGGTGATTCATCAAATCAAGTGGTCCTCCTAGTGTCATCAGGCCGTCCTACTTGCTTGTCCCCATTTTCACTCACCAGTGGTGAGTCTGACATATTGGAAAAATTGCAAAACTTCTTTCAGAACGTAAGCTTGTATGAGCGATGCAAACAGCAACTTTAAAAAAGAGCAAGCATGAGGAGAAATTAGCTTGTGCATGCTCTTGCACACGTTTAATAGTCATTCCTTCTTGGGAGCAGGTACATAGATGTTCATGTGCATTTTTTTTTAAAGTGGAATGGGTGGGTCTTTTTAAAAATTCTCAAAGATCCTCCGCTATACCTTTAATTGATGCAGTACCATAATAAAAGTAATGAGAGTGCAGAAACTAATTTACTTTTCGCAATGATCACAGCATCTCCATTCTATTTAAAAAACAACAAACCCATATAGAAAGTCACATCATAACAACCAAAAATTTAAAGGGGTCAAAAAGCATCAAGCACCAGGACATCAAATAGCTGAATAAGACAAATTATTTAAAGACCAACAATTTATCAGTAAGACAATTGGACCCCTAAACTGATTTCACAAACTGGCTATCCAACAACTCTGATTGGTAAAAGATAAATAAAAATAATAAAAAAAACAACCTTACAGTCCAATCCACTTACAACTAAAAAATACGAATAGAACAAACTTGACCTCACTACAAATAAATTACCCCTCCTTGATATAAAATGGAAAGAAAAAGTCCAAAATAACCACTGCATCACTAACCAGAAGAATTTATCTTTCAAATTATTCTTTTCTAGGTGGGAACTGGTCCAAAGGTGCTCAAGCATATCTAAATACAAGACTTAAACTGAAATAACTCGAAGTAGTTCTTTTTAATTACTAGACATTATCAGAAAAATATATCTAATTAATGCAACATATTACACAATGGATACATTATTTTCTTAAATGCTGTAAAAAACAGAAAAATTAATTTCTGAACACACTCCAATCACATAACACATCTGGTAAACTGCTCGTGAATAAGAAGAATGTTCCATATACAAAACTTACGGCTGTCCTTCAGGGGTATTCTCCGGTATGGTAATGGCATAACTGGTGTTGGTGAACTGCGGTGCTCGGGCCCCTGCCACTATAGATACCATGGCAGGTGCGCTGTGGCTTCCCAAGCCATCAAGGGCAACCACACTTAGCAGGTACTCTCTCTCCTTCTGAAGAACCAGCCCCGTGGTCACCACCTGTCCTGTCTTCTTGTCAACAGCAAAGCAGCCATCGCCCCCTGTTGGGAACGTCAATGATATTATTTTTAGTTTCTGGATCCACACGATTCAGATAATCCCTTTGCGTGTATTAAGTGGAAGATAACAAGTAACATAAATAATGTGTTTCTGTTTTTACTAGGTTTAACAAGGAAAACACACAAGACACATTCTAGATATATAAAATATTGCATAAAATTTAATAGATCAAGTGGTGATGTTTAGACTTTGACACAATTAATACAATAATATTTATGCAATAATTAAACTGTTATGTGCAGTGACTTTAGTCCAAGATCCTGTTTCTTGACCATTTTGAGCAGTAATGGGATGTTGGTCAGGCGTAAGGAAAGAGAAACTAGTAAAGAAAATATTTGCATTTTATTTTTCTAATAAAGAAACACATCTTAATCAATTGTTAAAGCTTGTGAACGAATGATGACATTCTACACAGCTCAGTTAAGTCAATTAAATCCAAAACTTTGCCTACAAACCTAAACCAATATAACTGGTATAACAATTATATTAGGAATGGAAGTGAAGATCCTGAAATTGCTTGTCTTTTGAACTTGTTTGAGAGAGATTTAACACTCTATAGAAAACAAAATCGATGTGGTGTAGTTTTCAAAAGCATTTCTAGTTTTTTTCTGTCACCTACTGTATGGTGTGTGACTTAAAGAGAAATGCTTTTTTTCTTTGTACTGTAGGTACTTTTATATAACCCGTTTCCTGAACTGGATGCAGTATATCTCACGCTCCTGTGGTGTTAACTGTGTAGCACTTACTGTACATGTTGGCAGGTTAATAACATTTTCTTTTCATATGAATTACCACATAGTTTTAAGGTTAAATATATGTTGATGGAAAGCCTAAAAGAACCAAATACTTTTTCAGCCTTTACCCAATGTATTTTTCCAGATGGATGTTAACATACAAGTGGCTAAACCAAAACAAGTAGTTCAGAAAGTTAATAAATCCTGTATGAATATCAAAATAATGTGCAAGTTGCAAAAGAGATGCCACACCATATCTGCGGTTCCCATCCCATCTCTTCTTTTTGCTTTTCTTCTTTAATGGCACACAAACGAAAATGCTGTCTACAAAAGTCAGTAAAATACTGTAGAATAATTCTTAAAAAACAGCTTGGCATTTCTTAAAAGAAACAAACTGTTCTTTGACTTGAGGCTAATTTCAAATATTAATTCATATATACCTGAGTTCTTGAGGCAGCATACTATGCTATAGGGATGACCCTGAATGAGCTACAGTGTCGATTAAATTAATCTCCTAGGAAAGATGAACAAAAAATGTAATTTGATAAATAATTAAAAATAATTCTGTTGCAGTACCATGATCACATTATGGTAGTTTCAGATAAATTTTACAATACACTTTTGTTTTCCTTTAGGTGCAAACCTGTGAAGATATAATTGTTTATTTATTGTTCTATTTTTATTTCAAGAAACAAAGAAGCTCAATATTGATACTGTAGGGATGAAACCTTTGTGCAAATATCTTTTACCTTAAGGACAGCGCCTACACCTCTAATATTTTTCATAAGGCGGAAGCACTTTATGGTTTAGCTTCTGTTTTGTTCTGCAGACTGGTAACTAGTGGGAGTGATGCAACAACAAAGGTAACAATGTGCCAAAAGCATCAGAAAACAAGAGGACAGTAAATATGCAAACAAGGACATGGGAGAAAGCAATCAACCATTTGAAGAAGGAATACTTATCAACGTATGAGCGAATGGGGAATTGCATGCCATCAGGGATAATGATAACAAAAGTTTCTATATGAACAAAGGGGCAGTAATGTAAAAAAAAATGTTTACAACAAAATATTTAAGCCTAAGTTATTCTAAGTCTAAAAATAGAAATATATCCTGCTTGAACAGAATCAATAGAGAGCAAAACTAATAGCCTCATCTTCAAAAACAGGTGCAAACTAAATAGATTGTGCAAAGCAAATCTTCTTTACAGGTGCAATGCAATTTGCACTTGGTAAGTGTGAAACACTGAGCCCAAACCTTTTTAGGTGTGCGCCCTAATGAATATGCAGATTACATGCTATGACCAAAATGCTAATTTATGGTTGGAGGATATGCAAAGGTAAATGTTTACTGGGGAGGTAAAGCAATTTATATTTTCCCAAACTGATCGTGCGAGCAGTTACTGTATCTATATTGAACATGCAAGTCTACGGCACACAAAAAAAAATCTCTGATCATTGTGGCCACAAAGAAGGCATTGGTACAATGACAGAAGATTGAGAGAGTCATTGCACATGTTAACATATATGGACTGTCAAAATTGACAACAGCAGAAAAATATTATAAGGTAAGATGTCCAGGTAGGAAAGATTAATACAGTGGGAAGCAAACTATAATGATTTCTATCTGTTCCTGCCTGAGAAGCTACTGAGCATCTGATCTCTGGATATTGACTTCCTGCCTTGGCTCGCAAATGGGTCTATTTGCCTCTGCCTAATTGTGATCTGTTCTATCAACCATGTATGACCCAAGCCTGGACCTCTGATCTGCCTCCTGCCTCTGTTTCTCTGGAAACCTCTTCCTGGTTGGTGTGCATCTTGTTACCAATTATCTTGCTTGGATTCCAGATTTTCCTGTTGTCTAGCCCTTCCAGAAACCTCTCCACTGTAACTGCATCTCTGTGCATGACCTCGGGACTGACTCGAGACTAAGACTCCCCCAATGGGCTTAGCCCTTTTTTAGTAGTGTCAAGATTTAGATCAGGCAATCAGTGAACCAAATCATCCAAAACGAGCAACTGGGATCAATCATCCTAGCCAATCCTGGCTCCTCAGAAAGTTAGTGGCTTTCATTCAATGCACCTTTAACACCACTAAGTTGGCCACTAACCCTGTTCTCCTCCCCACAGTGATTCAAGTTTTAGTCAGATCCTGTTCCTACAATACCAGTAGTTTTTTTTTAATATAAATTATTATAACTCTTACTTCCTATGTTGGTTGATTTATTGGGTCTCCAGATTCTGTCAGGCATTGCACAGTCAGACAATCTTTCCATATTTAACTAAAATGAAAACTACAAAAATAAATAAACAAAACTTAATAACAGCCCCCCCAAAAAACCTGTGCTAAATAATCCATCATAGACTCCTTGCACAAAGCACAGTTATTTAGTATTCAGTTTTATAGCCCTTCAGTGGTTTGCAGTATTATGGGATAAGCAGGTGTTGTGAGGAGTTGGTGGAGTTGAATACAGATGCTTATAATTTAATATTGGCGCTGTAAGTCTGACAGGGCTCATTCCTAAACAAGACTCTATTAATCATTGATTAAGCTTTCCCTAATTTTCTAAAAGCAATACTTATACTGCTGTATGAAACCATCCCCACTTGAAGCTGATTAAGCTTCATTAAATAACTGTAGACTTAGAATTAAGCAAATATATATAACTGTATTAATCCTCACAGTTGTAAAATATTTAAAATTTGACAGACAAATACATTTCAGATAGCCAGAAAACAAAATATTATCTAATTTTTCAGAGTAAATAATTGCTTTCAAATATAAATACATTATAAAACAAAAGTGACTTGCCACAGTTTTAGTACATAGCTTAAATCGTTTTTTTTTTTCTCCCGAAAAGATATAGTTACTGAATTAAGGACATTTGGGAGAGTTTTGGAAATTTGGAAGGAATAAAATAACACCCACAATTATCTAATATATTCATTGACTCACGTTAAATCTGTTTCCAGTGAGGGGAACTTTAATATTGGTACAAAAAACCTCAACCACGGTTTTACTTGATGATGAAAGAACTGGGTCAAATTGTGGTCATCAAGAGGTCAGTTTGTCTGATGACATCCCGTGGTGGTGTTAATGTTAAGCAGTGGATAAGAGGGTTAGAGAAATATTACTAAAATCCAAACAACAAGTTGAAATTATTCCGATGAGCTGTTAGTTAGGCTAAAGTGAGCAAAATGTCAGTTGGCACTGCTTTAAAGAGTTCTTAGCATGTGTATAAAGACAATGAGCTCTTCTGTGCAATTGGGGTTTCAACTCAGAACAAGGACGTAGTGGGATGTCCTGATTACAGTTAAACCACAAGTCAGGGGGAAATCAGTAAACCCCACAAGCAACATCAGCACATCCCCCAATCTCTGCCAACAGCCCTCAATCCCTTTAGCTAGCAGGGGGTCCACTATTCTGGCAGGCTTCCAGCAGCCCGCTCTATGTGTTTGTGTATGAGTGAACGTGCGCTTGCTTGATTCCCGGTATGAAACAGAAAGAAGCAGACAGACAAGAGTGCATGAAAAGTGCATAAACAAATCTGTGAAGGCCTCTGGCTGTGTGTGGGATTCTGTGAGAGTGGCTGTGTGCATAGAACTGAAAGTGGGATGGATATAGAGAGGTAAAGAAACAAAGCGGGTAAAAAAAGATAAATAATATAACGAACACATAAAAAGTGTGTGAATACATGAATAAATCTTAATGCCTGTGGTATTTTGCCTGACAACTGTGCTGTGTCAATCTAGGTATATCAATTTTTTTACATTTTCACACAATCATGTTTTTTTATCAACAGCACACTGCATTTTACTAATAGCTGTTGTGCGTTTTTATGCGTTATCTTAATTGTAAAAAGCTCACCATCTGACAAGAAGTACTCCACTTCTCCACTTTTACCCTCATCTTCGTCAGTTGCCTGTAGCTGGTACACAAATGTTCCTGCCGCTGCCTCAGGAGACACAACAGCCAAGTACGGGTATGGTTTCATATTCCACTCAGGGACGTTGTCGTTGACATCAGTGATTGCCAGTTTCACCTTGTTCAGGTACCAATCAGGGCCTAAAGGATAGTGAAGAAATAGTGTGAGAGATGTGAGTACAAAAAGTGACGGCTTTCTTGTAATTGTGTGGAGGAGAGACAAGCAATGGGAGTTAAGTAACAACAAACAGATATTCAATTAAAGGTGTAAGTGCATGACAGAGCAATCCTCTCCCTTAGATGGAAACACATACATCTGGTCTGGGATACATTTCAAGGATTCTAGCTAAAAGTGTTCAAAAAAACTCTCAGCACAGTATGGACATGATTCAGATCTGCAAACATCATTTAAAAAAATCTGTCTCAACATTATGATCTTCCCCAAATATGTTGTGCTTTGCTTTACTTGCCTCTCTCAACCCCTTATGCCCGGTGGGCCTGGTACTGGGCCCAACTGACACCTGCTCATGTTTATCTACCTATAGAAATGGCCAAAACAAAGTCACATGGCCTTTCATCCACACACCTTTCAAATGGGGCTTTAACATTTTTAAAACATGTTTAAAAAATATTTTTTCACAACTACTTTTTGTTTTATAGCTGTGTAAACAAATGAAATGAGATTTAAAATTTCAACTGAAATGTGTGACTGCGGCAGCTTCATTACAGATGGTGACACTTGTGTTCCATCAGTTTCTGTGAATGGTATGCATGTGCCTTTATGATATTTAGGTTACTTCTATGCAGATTCCTGTCATATAAGGTTGACAGTGTGAGAAAGAGGAATAGAAATTAGATCCCGTTAGTTGGAAAATGAAAATAAAATGCCAACTGCCAAGCATGGTGGTGGTAGCACAATTTTGTGTGGCTATTTCTCTCCATGTGTCACTGGTTCATTGCAAGGAGTTTTATTCTTCTAAATTTATAGCAGTAGATAGTTGAACATGGATAGAATTGGGTGATCTGATAAATGATGTTCTAAACACATCTCCAGATAAAAGGTTATCAGAATGCATAACAGTTTGGTCTGAGGTAAAAAACTACTCACATTCAAAGAATTCTACCACACAAAGCTGTCAACCAAAGAGAAAGATTTTTTTTTAATTATGATTATTATTATTTCTATTTCAATTAAGGGTATAATTTTATTTGATTCGTTAAAAAAGAATGTGCAAGAAATAAAAATGTTTGAAACAAAGGTTCACAGAAAACATTAACGTTATTTATTAAATAACTCTTCCATCCTGATAAAAATAATGGATGAAATACTTAATTGAATGGCCCAGATTAATACACAGAATATCCAGATGATTATCAATGACTGTCTATCTCTGACAATGGTGGAGGATAGTGGGTGCATAGCTGAGTATCAATTGTAGACCAAGTTTCCTGATGGGCTAAAGCCTCAGCCACAGTCTCATCCAGCAAGTCTTGGTAAAGCCATCTTGATCTTCCCATAAGCATGCAGGAAAGACACCTCAAGAGATCATGCACTTTGTCGCCTGCATGATGTCTCACTAAAGTGAATAAGAAGATTCCAGGAATCCAATTACCATCTAAGGTGAAGGCACCCAAAGAGATCTTGTTTGCAACATATTGATGACAAGAGCATAGCATGCATTTGTTTAAACTTAAATTTTTTGACGTGTTTCAAGTTAAACATAAAACAGTATACATTTAAAATATATATAATTTTACTGTTACAAGCCCCAATGTGCAAATCTGTTCCCTTAGAGTGGAATGTTTTACAGATCTGTGAGTGCAAGACAGTATTTCCACAAATATTGGCTTTGATGATTTGTCAACGTGGCATTAAAGAATGTCAGAAGAGCTGCCAACCGTTTCAGTGGGCTGCCATCCACTAAGGCCATCTGCCTCACCAAAGTGAAGAAAAAACATTCTGCCAAGACAGACATGCTCCAAAACACAAGCACCAACAGATTAAAACATGAGCACAAAAGATTTTACTCCAACAGAAGTTATCCTGTTACAACAACATACTCCTTACACACCTTCCTGTGCTTTCTCTACAACTAACCAAAATATACTTTGAAAGCTAAAAATAGCTCTGGGTTTGAAATCCTGTTATATAACAACACTCCTGTTTGTGAACACCTATATGTGTACTTTTAATCCAAGAAGAGTTTGTGATACATCATTTTACAACCTGAAAAGTGACTCAACATCTTTTTTAGTAATGCAAACAATAAACAGCTGATTTTTGCTCCACTGTGTCTGTATTTACTGCTCCATCCATGCAGCTAATGCACATTTTTTTCACTTTAACTTATGTTAAACTTTAATTTATGTATTCGAAATCGCAAAGAGGTGAATAAGTGTGAAGCATAGGAAAGATGTAAACAAAAAACTTTCACAAATACTAATGTGAAAAGTGTGGCATCAACTGATATTCTATGGGTGTTTATAAAAACTAAAAAAAAAACTCTTCAAACCACAACCTTAAAATGGTGGAGGGGTTTCAGAAATTAGATGAGTTCAAAGAAGTGGGGAGCAGCCATCTCAGTGGGTCCACCACCTTTAGGGGAACCATGAGGGACAAAGAGGATTTTGCAGTAGTCAGAGGCAGGGGAAGAGAAGACGATTGATGGACACTTAGACTGTCCCTGGGGATGTGCAAAGTTACCTGAAAGGGGGGGAAGGAACCCAAACTTGTGCAGGAGATGGACCGATAACAAACCTAAATAGAGAGAGGACTCTCTTCTATTGGTCATTGGAGAGAGGTGGAGGTGGAGAGCTGTCCACAGATCACCAACTGGTGGTGAGTTGGACATGATGAAGGAGAAGGAAGCTAGACGGAATCAGCAGACCCAAGTGAGTTGTGTGGGTCTGCTGTAAACATCTGATGGAGCCCACAGTCAGAGAAGTCTTTGAACACCACCTACAGGAGATCTTCTTGTGAATTCTGGGAGACAAGGGATTTCGAGTTTGAGTGAACTATGTTCTACGCATCTAATGTCAATGTAGCCAACTGTAGTTGCTGCTGTAAGATCTGTGTTGCCTGTTGTGGCAATAATCCTTAAACCCAGTGATGGACGCCAGGAGTAAGGAATGGTGTTATTCGGAAGAAGGAGTCCTATGGCTTGTGGCACTCTGAGGCAGCAAAACGGTATTCTGAGGCCAAGCATGTTGGTTGCTGAGACAAAACTCAGGTCTAGGAGGACTTTGGAAAGAAAATGGAAAAAATAAAACTATTGCATGGCTTCAAAGCAATTTAGCCAAACTGTCCACTGCCTCTAAAGGGGGGGGGGGGGGGTGGGGGGGAGCAGTGCTTTGCTAATACCAGTTTTAGTGGGAGTGAGGAGCTTCTGACCTTAATTTTGGTTATTTTCATAATGTGGAAGGAAAACTTTAATGATCTCCGCCACCCTGGCATGACTTCCATGGGGGAAGCAGAAACTGAGCAGTCAGAGCCAAACATGTTCGTCGACAAAGCTGAAGTCAATGAGGTGCTCAAAAAAGTGGCAAGGCTCCGGGGACATGGATGAGATCAACCCTGAGTACCATAGGTCTCTAGATGTTGGGCTGTCATGGCTGACATGTATCTTGAGCATTGTGTGGCGATCAGAGACAGTGCCCCTGGACTGGTGGACTGGGGTAGTGGTTCCCCCACCATGAAAAGGGGGGGTGATGTGTTTATTCAAACTACAAGGGTCTCAAACTTATCAGCCTCCATGGGAAGGCCAATGCACGGGAGATTATAGTCTGACTGAATGTCAAACCTCAACTTTAGTGTGGTTTTCACCCTGTCTGAGGAAGGGTGGTTGAGCTCTACATCCTCTGCAGGGTGCCGGAGAGTTCACAGGAGTTTGCCTAACTGGCCCTCATGTATTTAATGGATCTGGGAAAGGAAAAGACATTTACCTAACAGCACAGTTATTTGAAAGAGTGAATAATACCCTCACTAAAATGGGCCAATATCTTGCTTTGGGTATCCTAACCCAGCCAAAATTGGTTTAAAATACTACTATGGCTATCGTGGTGCCCTGATGGGGTCGCTACAGGAGTGAAGATTTGGGGGTCTTTTAAAAGGGCCATCCGGTGACCGAACAAGTGGAGCAGGATTGCAGGCATTAAATTGGACCTGTTCCTAGAACATCTTGGTCTCTGGCAGGGTTGCCCGTCATTACCAGTCCTTCTAATAATCATTTGGACAGAATTTCTGGTGGCATCAAGGCCACGCAGGGGTCTGGTTTGGGGACCTGCAGATTTCATCCTTGCTTTTTTGTTATTTTTCTGGCGGCCTTTTAAGAGTTCATAAATGCAAATAATTTCCATGAAGACCAAATAATACAAGTTTGACAATCTCAAAGAGACTGCCGGATCCATCCTCTACAGAGAAAGTAGGATACTGATGCAAACCTATCAAGGCATGGCAAATTTAACCAACAGCACAGACGTTTGAAAGGGTGAATAAATCCCTCACTAAAATGAGCAAAAATCTTGTTTTGGGTATCGTAACCTAGCAAAAACTGATTTACATCCAAATGACCTCCATATTTGGTTGAAAAATGAAAGTTTCAAATCTTTAATTTTCATCATTAAAAGTCCAGTTTTCAATGTCTATTACTGGACTAAAGTCGGAAAAAAATCAGACCCACCAAACACTTTTACAACAACTATTTATGGACCAAATCAAGACTGTGATGGAACATCCAAATTTAGTTTACAAAACAATGTCAAAATTACATTTGGATTTTGGGGCAGTCTTTTTTCAGCATGGGGAGGGGAGCTGGGCAGAATTTATCGGATAATAGAAGCAACTAAATACAGGCCTATACTGGACGAACAACTGGGAAAGATGTTAAGATTCTAGCAGGACAACGTCTCAGGGCATAAAGCCATAGCTGAAATAGAACATATGTCTTGGAAAGTCCAAACCATAATCCAACTAAATGGAATTGATCATTTGTGGCAAGGCTTGAAAATGAGTTTTCAAGCCTTGTTCATATCTGACTAAGCTTGAGATGCTATAACCCTAAAGACTTCTGAACTGTGACTGTAGAACTTAACTGCTTGTATAACAATCTTCTGCTGCCAGATACAGTATAGATTCAGGGGAA